CTATCACTTCCCTATACTCTTCTTATTGACTGCTGGTTTTTCACTTTTCTCGAACTTTTTTCCCGAACTATCTCGAAGGATTCCCGAACGAATTGCAATAAAACTCATTTACTAAGCTACCCCAGAGCTATACGCGAAAGTGAGCCGCGCCATTCGCGCGCTTGCGCAACTCAATTACATGAATTTGTTCTATTACTCTCTCACGTTTTATTTAATTACTTTATTTGCATAAGTCATACATCAACATAATTTACGTGTATAGATAGCACAAAACAATATCTACACTACGATATACATTACATTTTTATATCACGAAAAACCTACTATTTATTTAACCAAATATGCCTATTTTACTCACAAGTTCAAACTCGAAATTTCTTAAATATTTAACATAGAATGTTAAAACAATGTTTTCCACTTGAAATTATACAAATGTTAACTAATACAATAGTTTAATTAACATTTTCTCTATTTATTTCACAATTAAAACACTTTTAAATTTCTTATACAAAACTATCATTATTTCACTTATACACAGGAATTTTCACATAAAAATAACACAGAATTCACCTTTTTTAGCACGTACAATCAACCTGAAATGTTTTACAAGTCATTTTTACATAAATTGCTGAAATTACAAATATTTAAATTTTTACATATTTGGCCTCCTAAGGGCGTGGCTTAGCGTGCGTCTATGAACTCACACTATTTGAACAACTAACTTTTGCACGGCTCTCGGCTATCAGAAAAATGAAAGTCTGATATACACCAATTTTAACAATATTGGGTGAGAGATTAGGAGACTATTTCTAATCAGATTCTTATCAGTTATCATGTTTCTTATCAAACAATATAAGTGAATGTTCTCATAAATCAATCATGGCAAATAGGCATTTGTTTTCGTACAAAACATATCAAACTTATATAAGACAATACTTATGCGATTAATTTCCGTTAATTCTATTTACGCACAGAGTGATCATCTCGATCGGGGAACAAATCCGATCTTTAACTTTATTTAAATATTCTTTTAAATTTATATCATTGGAAAGATGATTTCAACCGGGGAACCAATCCGGTAGCATAATTTATATCTTAAATTCCTTATGAATTTATTAAGTGATATTACTTAAGAAAACAATAAACTAGTCCGGCCTAGGAGTCGAACCCAAGACCTTCATATCATTAATTCGACATTTCTTCAAGATTTAACTAAGCATTTTCTTATCAGAACCTTGCTATTGGATAATATGCATTTGAGAAGTTATTCGTCATAGGTTGACTTAATAAACTGAAATATTCTAATAGGCGCGTCGCCAACAATTATATATAACTTGTTGTACATTTTTTAAAGAAATTAGTTCACGTTTAATGTTTGACATTATGTAGAACTAATTAAACTTATTAAGTATAACAATGTCTCGTCCACTTACAAGCAAAATATGAGACTATTTTGAGTAGTTAAGTGTATATAGTTTATACATGGTAGAGCCATGCTGCAGTTATATTAGTAGTATAGTTGTAGCACTAATGGGCAGGCTCAACCGAGGAAGGAACACGCTCTCACAGAATACCAGTGTGAAATAGTGTCTTAATGCTGCTGTGTTTCGTATGGTGAGTGTAGAGAACCGAAGTCCCTTTTTACTGGAAATGAGGAATTCCATTTTAGTCCTCACGGGTGACAACGCATCTGCATTTTGATTTGTAATCGAGAATAGATGTAGATGTCTATGGGCTGCAGAAACCATTTACCATCAGGTGGACTGTGTGCTCGTTTGCCAATCTATCCAATAAAACTGTAACGACGTTAGACGATGCACGGCCTTCAAGCCACACCTCCGTGCCCGTGGGAGTGGGGAGCGTGAGGTTTTTTCGTTACGGAATGAATTTCTGGATTCGGTCCCCCGCTCAAGGCCCGCGATAGAAGCTACGCAATAGCTTAAAAACTGCGATCGTAGTTGAGTTCTATTTCGGAATTCAGCGAAAAGAGCAAGAACAGCCAAAATAGCAGTGCCTATAACGGCAATCGTCGCACATTACGATAATATTGAAACGAGACGGAGCGCGCGCAATCAAATGTCACAGGTCAAAACTCCATAACCGATAACCGCTCGCGCGGTAATGATTTCAGATGGCCAGCGCAGAGAAATATATGGTAGTTTTATTTAATTATTTAAAAAATATTTGGAAAACGAAAACTTCCAAAAGTATGAGGAAATACAAAAGGAGGCCAAAGAAAGATCTGCACGTTAATATGAAAAGTGTACTACTAGATATGTACCTAATATTTTATAATTTAAATTTTTGTGATTTCACGAAACATTGTGATCTAATTGTGTAGCTTATTTCATAGGTTAACAAAACTTAATGTTATTTAGTTTTTTTGTTTTTGCTTAAATAAGTTTTGAAAAACTCTATCTGTCTCTCTCTTCAGTCGCTCCCATCTTGTGGAATTGCTAAACATCACTTGTGATTTTAGCAATTCTATAAGAATGGAGCTGGAGACGGATAAGTGTGCGGTCTTCCATTGTGGAAAGGGAAGGGTTGCTAACTCTGAGGGCATAGATTTATCTATGTCCTTGAACTAAAAGACCCTTTCGGAGGCTGAAACATACCGATACCTGGGTATGTCATAGAACATCGGTATCGATGAGACTGGTATGAAACAGCTTGCGACGTATTTTATGCAATCTTGACCAAAGCCCTTAACAGCCTTTTGTCCGCTGTGAATAAGACATACTCATATAATGTTTGGGTAATGCCTGTCCTCAAGTATACCTTTGGCATACTCAGATGGTCTCAGATTGAACTTAACGCCCTGGATAGAAAATTCCGCCCTACCACGACGTCATTTATAGTGCATCATCCGAGATCGTCGGTAATGAGGCTGTACTTGCCGTGAAAGCAAGGTGGGCATTTAAGCGCGCTCACCATACATGATCGCGAAATGTGCAGCCTCCGTAATTACTTCCTGGCGAGATCGGGTAATCCATTCTATAAGGAAGTCATTTCTTGTGATAAAGGACTTACTCCTCTATCCTTAGCCAACGAGCAATGGCAGAACCCGGCCTTAGCCTCCCTCCACTGGCTACGCTTTGCTGACCTCCCCGGGGAAACTGAAGGTTTTGTCTGTGCAATACCGGATCAGGTTATTAAGACCAACAACTATCGGAGATACATCCTAAAGAATGGCACCGTCGACATCTGCCGAGCAGGTCGCCATCCCAGTGAGTCATTTAGGCATGTCATCTCCGGATGTTTCGCGCACTTCCCGGAAGCCGTGCTCGAAAATGACCGCGCCAGGCTCTACTGGGACCGGGCCATCATCACTGACAGGGCTACTCTGGCGAATAAGCCTGATATTGTGCTGATGGACCGGGCACAGTCAAGGATATTTTTGGATGACATTACCATTCCATATGACGAGAACCTAGTAAAACCGAATCAGATATGAAAACCAAATATCTGGATCTGGCTCACGAGGTGACTGACAAGTGGGGTGGTCTGCCGAACCAAATTATTCCTGTAGTCGTCTCTGCGAATGAGCTAGTCCCGGTCAGCCACAGAAATCGTAATAATAAGACAATAGAAATTAATTAGCGCTCGATCATTTCCAAAACCAATGTCGCCACCTGCAGCCGTATTGTAAACATACTCAATGCATAATGATGTTTAATGTTTCACATTACATTGCTTGGCAAGTTTGTCAACGTCGCGTATTATGGTAGAACTAAAGCAGCAATGGTAATTGTCAATACAAAAAGTAATAAATGAAAGTTTACAAAGGTAAATATCATATTAAAGTATTCATCTAGATGTGAATTAGTTAAAACAAGGATAATTAGTAAATAATCAACTTACCGTTGAAATTTTATGCCTTTATTAGTTGAATTACACGTCCTTGATGAGTTTTTACTACTTTTTTACTATTATGCTGCAGTTCACCATTATAATAACATTAATTCACGTAAGACGTTTCCCGGGCAACTAAATCACAAAATGGTGAATTATGTGCGTCAATACATAATAGCGGCGACAAGGTCACGCGTCTATGCTACTTCTATTGTCTTATTATTACGAAATTCTGTGCGGTCAGCTTATCGGGACTTCTGAGGCGACTGGGACTCCGTGACAGACGGCTCCGGGCTCAAATGCAGAAGGCGTGGCCCCTCGATGCCGCCCGCATCGTCCGCCGATTCCCTTTCCTCCTAACCCTCGGCCGTTTGATCTCCCCTGCCGAGGGCTTCCATCTGGTTGGGTACCTATTTATTTATTTATTATTTATTTATTTATGTTAGTAGATAAATTACTCATGTGGTAATAGCGCCGCGGTTACACCTGTTTACTCAACTGTACTGGAAAACCGATACGGCTTGACTGTTCACTCATTAGGGAAACAGTTGCGTAAAGCTTCCACGGCAGTTGTTTTTGAACAGGGCGAGTGACTTGAGAATAAAAACAACCGAACAAATTGCTCAATTTTAATTCAACGTAAAAGTTCACTAATGGTTTTATCGGAAAAACCAGGACTGCGACGTCTACCGGATCTGGGAATATTAAGCGACGGAAACTGAAATTCCATTTTTTTATATATAGAGTTTGTGCCGCGCCTGCGTGGAATACGTTCGTGTGTCTAGTTGCTACAAATTCTGTTATCAAAATTTGTTCTTAAAAATTTGTGATTGGCCAATTTATCAAGTTTCAATTCCTTATTACTCTAGTGCAGTATATATGGGCTAACTCCGCCCAGTAGGATGTTTTAGAGTGAAATAGTACATGTTTGCGCAGTTCCTAAGTCGAAAAAGTCATAACTTGAGGGTACATACATTCGAGAGTCTCGAACCCCGTTCGTTTTGATCGTGAATAACCGATGTACTAAACGCGCTAAAGAGTTGCTTAAGCGCACTACAAAATTACGCTCGACTTCGTGCTCCCTACTGACGTCATCGACATTCATAACTTCGTTTAATTTGAACTCCTTATAAAATATTAACGCTAGAATGTCGAAGTGCGCTGCTTGCGGGAAATTTGTGAGTCCGGCTGATATTATTAAATGTAGCAGTTGTGCTAATATTTATGACAGAATATGTTTAAAGTTATCCAAAAGTTATAAAGTATCTCCAAAATGGCTTTGTCCGGGCTGTACTTCTAAACAACCACGAAAAGATAATACGGAGACTCCGATTAAGGTGCAAACAGAAATAAGCCAGAATAGTTCCTCGAACTCATCACCTTCTAGTTGCAGTGGCTGTGATGCTACAAGTAAGATGATAGAGGAGTTACGTACGGAAATTGTCGCTATGCGCAATGAATTTGTAAACTTTGGAACAAAGTTCGACAGGCTTTACCTTGCCGTCAGCGACTTAAGTAAGCGAGTTGATGGAATAGAGAATCGGGTGGCTAATCTCGAAAAAGACGAATGCATGGAAAAATATAAGGATGAGAACAAAAAGCTAAGCGACACATTGGAGCGTCTTAAGTTCGAGTTGAACGATCGTGATCAGGAACAGCTCCTTACTGATGTAGAAATAAGTTGTATACCTGAGCATAAGGGTGAGAACGTGACTCAACTTTTTATGCTTATTGGTGAAAAATTAAATGTAAAAATTGAAGAACAGGACATTGTAAGCACCCAGCGAATGGGTCCACTGCGAGGTTATATAGAAGGAGAAGGCGCTGTTCAGCCACGACCACTTGCTGTGCGCTTGGCGCGCCGAACGCTGCGCGACCGTCTGTTACAAAGCACGCGTGTCCGTCGCGGTGCCGATACTACAGGTTTTGGCCTGCCGGGTTCGCCGAAGAAGTTCTATATAAATGAGCGTCTTACCCGTATAAATCGCCAGTTATTCTTCAAGGCCCGTCAAATGGGCTCTAAGAGCGGTTGGAAATATGTGTGGACACGAGACGGTCGCATTTACGCGCGACGAGATCAGAACACGGAGGCACGCAGAATAAGATGTGAAATCGATCTTGTCAAGTTTTTTGGCGAACCGGTGGTTGGCTAAACTTGGAGCTTTTGCTTTTCTGTTGTTTTTTTAACTGTTTGCTGAACCTATTTTTTAAACTATTGGTGCTTGCATATTTAACAAAATTTTCGAAAATGATTTTTATATTAATATGTCTATGCCCTACTCGTTTTGTTATGTATCCGCTTATGTCGTTTAATAATACTGTACTACACTTTTTAACATTATTGAACAAATTATTTGTAAGTGCTGTGACGCTGATGATACATAATGCATATTATTATGTATATACGTATATTGTACATGTTATACGTTTTATATTTTCCGGTTTAAAATGCTCTCTTTATTTTTGCCCATATTTTATAATATTCTATATTATCATAATAACTTATGTCATAAACAACTATTTAATTTATTATATAACACCGATATTCAATTACACTAACTATATAAATTATGATATTCAACTTTTCAGAAAAATATTAGATAACACGAAATTTGATTTGTTATACGGTTATAGCTATAGCTACGGTGCTGCCCTGTTTGTGTATATGTGTGTATGTGAGTGTGTTTGTATAAGTATGCGTACGTATGTTTATATGCATATACTGAAGTTGCTCGTGTCCCTGTGTTCAGATATATATTATACTCTCTGTGCAAAATGGCGCCTAAAAATCAAAAGCTGAAGGTTGGTTTTTAAATCCGGGTTCTTTGGGTACAAGGCATGAAGACTTCATTGTGGCAATGGTGCAGCATGATGTAGATATCATGGCTATAAACGAGACCTGGCTACGTGATGGAGAACAAGGTCGCGCGCCATCTATCCCCGGTTACCGCTTGCGTCATATTCCACGTTCAAGTACCACGCGCGCACGTGGTGGTGGGGTTGGATTCTATGTACGTCATGGACTCGCCGTAAAAACGTGTGTATTTCCTGCCGCAACATCGGTTGAACAAATGTGGCTTAATTTAACTATTAACGGCATAAATCTGATAATAGGTACTGCTTATAGACCACCATGGCTTGATGTAGACATTTTTTTTGACGCACTTACTGATTCAGTATCATCTTTTGCCCATCGCGATAATATTGTGCTTTTAGGTGACTTTAATATAAATTTACTGGTAACTGACAACAATACTCATAAATTTGACAATTTTACAAAATACCTAAATTTAACCCAATATGTAAATGAACCTACACACTTTACTCCTTACAGTGCTACATTAATTGATTTAATATGCACCGACCTACCAATCTCTAACGTAACCGTCGATTACATACCAACTCTAAGTAATCATGCTTTCTTAACATGTAACTTTAAAATCAATAAGCCAAAATGTCAACCAATTCAGTTCATGTATCGCCCAGTGAAAGACATAAATCGTGATAGTTTTAATTTCGAAATAGAAAGTATCGACTGGGATTCTATAGCCCAATTACCTCATGTAAATGATATGGTTTCTCAATTCAATTTAACATTGTTAAGCCTGTTTGACCAATTCGCGCCACTAAAGCTCAAGCAAGTAAAAGAGCGTACATATCCATGGATTACCTTTACTATTCGAGAAATGATAAAACTGCGGAATGAAGCACATAATCGTTTTCGCTTAACTAGATTAGAGAAGCATAAAAGTTATTACAAAGAACTTAAGCATGCTGTAAACTCAGCGTTATACCGCGAAAAACAGGCCTATTTTAATCAACATATAAACCACAATTTAACTAATTCTAAAGCTCTTTGGATCAATCTTAAACGGACAATAAACATATCAGAAAAATCTAGAGACTATGTAATTCCTGACCAACTCAACGATCCGGATTTGATTAATTCTCACTTTTGCAATATACCTGGAAATGATTCAGCACCCGATTCAGAACATGTTTTCTTTGGCTCCCATCGATTTTGTTCTTCAACATTTAAGTTAAGTGTTACAGACGAAAACACAATAGCCAAAATAATTAATTCACTTAAGTCAAACGCTTTGGGCGCTGACGGCATATGCCTGGATATGGTTGTTTTAACACTTCCTTACACACTAAAAGTAATCACCGCGATAGTTAACAGATCGATAACCACGTCTTATTTCCCTGACGTCTGGAAAACCGCTTTGGTTACACCAATTCCAAAAACCAATAGCATTATAAATTTCAAAGACCTGCGCCCTATCAGCATCCTACCCTGCTTGTCGAAAATACTGGAAAGAGTAGTATGTACACAGCTTGAAGCGTACTTGGAGAGTAATCACATACTACCAAAACTGCAGTCTGGTTTTAGAAAGCATCATAGCACGACAACAGCACTATTAGACGTAGTAGACAATATTTTAGCATCTCAAGATATAGGTGAAGGAACAATCATGACACTACTTGATTTCTCACGAGCTTTCGAGTCTCTTAACATCGAATTATTATTGTCCAAGCTTTCCTATTATGGATTCGATCCAACCGCAATCAAGTGGTTCTCCAGTTATCTAAATGATCGCATGCAGTTGGTTAAAATAATCAAAAAAGATGGTACACATACTCTATCAAGTCCTTATACTGTAACGAGAGGAGTTCCACAAGGATCCATACTAGGCCCTCTTTTATTCATACTGTATATAGCAGATGTTAGTACAGCTATTCAGAACTGTAAATATCATATGTATGCAGACGATTTGCAGGTATATCTTTCCTTTGTACCAAGTCAAACTAACTGGGCTGTTAATAACTTAAATAGAGATCTAACGAAAATCGCCCAGTGGTCAGAAGCCAACACTCTTGTACTCAATCCAGCAAAATCAAAATACATAGTATTGGGATCAAAGCGACAGATAAATCGAATAGTTGCAAATAATCCTGATGTGTGTGTCCTCGGGGAGAAGATAAATCGTGTGACTGAAGCTAAGAATCTGGGATTGCTTATGGATGACGCGCTTCGCTTTGAGAGACACGTGATCGAGATCGCACGTAATTGCTTTTACAGACTAAAAGTATTATACAGAATACGTGAATTTTTGTAGTGAAGATCTGCGCATTAAGCTTTGCAACTCCCTTGTACTCTCCAGGCTAAACTATGCCGATACGGTATATGGACCAAGGCTACTTTCGAAAACTGACCGAATAATTCAGAGGATCCAAAATGCTTGTGCCAGGTATATACACCACATTCCCCCACGAGCGCACGTCAGTCCCTATTTAAATAAATCAAAGTTATTAAGAATGTCCCAATTAAGAGAACTACATTTAGCAACACTAATGTTCGGTGTCTTTCAAAACAAAAAAGCCCGGGTATCTATTAGAAAAACTAAAATGGCGCAAGGACGGTAATTTTAAGGACATTCGAACAAAATCAAATGTCCTTTCAATACCAAAACACACAACGGCAGCATTCCGTGGTAGTTTCCGATATGCAGCTACTAAATGCTGGAACAACTTGCCCCCACCTATCCGCCAACTAAATACCATCAGCCTTTTCAAGGTAAAAGTAAAAGAATATTTTTGTCACGTTAACATTTAGGGCGGATAAAATAGCTGCATTATATTATATTTTCATAGTATAATATAAATATCTATATTGTTTTATTATAAATTCTCATTATATTATTTATTATATACATTTATATGTACCTACTGCATAAATAAAGTTCCCATCCTTTTTCATTTTCATTTTCATTACCATTATTTTATTTTATTATTTTGATAACATCTTTCTCGAAAATAGAAATAAAGCGAACATACTATTCCTCGCAGGCGAGTTCAACCTCAATGGGCATTGCTGAAAACCAACGCTACCGCAATCCTGCGATAGCATTATGTTGAGTCAGTGCCCTTTTCAGCATCACATCATTCATGCAATTGGATCATTTTATGACTGTTTTTTGTTATTTACTTTTATCTTTGATGTTTTTATGTATTATTTTATTTTCTGTATCAAAACTGTATGAATGTAAGTTGCTGAATAAATGCATGTCTATGTCTATGTCTATGTCTATATCTAATGTAGGGCTGAATCTGAGTGACAGGGTGAGAAACTGTGTGATAAAAGAAGAGTGTGGTTTGCAAGATGATGCGGTGACCAGGATTAAGAAAGGAATGCTTCGGTGGTTTGGTTATGTAGAAAGAATGAATGCGGAAAGACTGACAAAGCAAATATATGTTGCAGAAGTGCATGGAAGAGTCGGAAAGGGACGTCCCAGGCGGAAGTTTGTCGACCAAATTGGCGATATACTAAAAATGGGCCAAATTAAGAGTACCCTTAACCGACGAGCATGTATGCGTAGGTATATGGATGTGGAAGAGGCGAGAAAGGTATGTCAGGATCGTGCTAAATGGAAGTCTGTAGTCTCTGTCTACCCCTCTGGGTGACAGGCGTGAGTGTTTATGTTATGTATATCTAATGTAAACAAAAAGACTACTGAGACTGATATTTGTGATTATATTTAAATAATGACAAATCTAAAGGTATATTTGGAATAAAACGATATGAAAGTAGAAAGGTCCTCCATTTATTTGTTGCAAAACATAAAATGAGTATGTTCTTAGATGATTAGCTATGGCCGGAAGGCGTCAGATTTAGAAGTTTTAGCTACTCTGTTCACATACTCGTACTTGCAGAGCGCGACGTCACGCCTCACACCAAGCTGAATGTACCTGACCATGCCGATCACGAACAAGCTCGGGTACATCAGCTGGTAGAAAGGATAGACGCCATAATCCTTTAAATAAAGAAACCATGTTAATTTATTTCGAATTTTTTCCACAATGTTTATATATTTATCTTCATGGATATTCCAAATAATTGCACTCGTTTCCAGCCGGCTGCGAAGTGCATTGTATAAAACTTTAATCATCCCTGTACTAAAGAAATCCCTGCAATTCCTCAGGATAAAACCTAAGTTTCTGAAAGCCTTACCACAGATATCTACAATGTGTTTACGAAACGTTAACTCAGCTGCCATCTGCACACCTAAGTCATGTACGAAAGTAACGCGCGGTATTACCATGCCGTCAACCTCGTACCGGTACTGCAGCGGCGCCTGTCTGCGCCCGTAATTTATTACCTCGAGCTTCGATATGCTAAAATATAAATTATTAATTGCGCTCTGCTGCACGCCCCTACCTGTATCTCGCTGAAGCTCTTCACAATTCGAAACGTCCGCTACCGACAAAAACAATTTTAAGTCGTCTGCAAACAGGAGACATTTCGAGACCTTAACGACCTCTAGGAGATCATTCATCAATAATATGAACTCCAAGGGACTCAAATTACTTCCCTGACTCATCTGAGAACATGAAGTAAGGTTCTGATTCATACCCCGCGAACTCGACGTACTGTCGGCGTTCACTAAAGTAACTCGCGAAAAATTTTAAAAGATGAAGTGTGAAATCCACCGCCGCAAATTTTTCTAAAGGGATATCGTTATCCACGGTATCAAAAGTTTTCCGTCTGCCACCCAGCGTCGATAGCAATCCTGAATGTAGGTCAGCTGCGAACTGACCTACGTATAAATACATTTTTGTAATGCGGATTTAAATACCTTGGCGAACGCAGACAGCACCGCTACGGGTCGGTATTCGCTCACATCTGAAGTCGAACCTCCCTTAAGCACCGGTATCACTCTTGTCATTTTCCATTCGTCGATAGTAGCTTTCTCGGAGACACAAGTTAAAAACGTGAAACAGATGCTTTTTAAAAACAGAGCGACAGTCTTTGACGATGTAAGGTGTCTACCGTCAGGGCCTACAGAGCGCTTAGGCGTGTGAGAGTGGTGCGGAAGTCGCGCGCGCAGCTGGCCGACGTGCACACGAGCCGCGCCAGCACGCGTCCCTCCCGCGCGCACTGGCCGCGTCACGCTATACATAGGTTGAAAATAAGACGCAAAACATTGCGCATACGACTGATCACTTAGCTCTAGACCGTTTTTTGTGACTCGAGTTTTATTACATACGTACGTACGTCTAGACGTCTTAAATAATGCCAAGAGGATTTCGGATTGTCCTTAAAATTCAGCTGTAATTTATCCTGGTAGGCTTCATTCATAATTGACTTTTAAGTTGTATTTTATCTGAGATTTACACCGAGAAAACGCCTCGTAATCATATTTCGCCCCCGTCATTTTATACCACCGACTTATTATACTTCGATGTTTTATAAAGCTTATGATACCTCCAATTTCGCTTTATATCTGCAATGATTCCTATTAAGTTTGGCCCTCCGGGGCATATTAAAGTCACCAAGCTAACTACCTACTTATAACATTATTGTATTTAACACGTTCATACGAACAACGTATATGTACGTCACAAATTGGTAGATATGACATGGCACAACGTATTAATACGCTCAGCAATAACTCGATTTACGAGTATTGAGCACAAGCAGCACAAAGTAATGGTATGGTTATTGCCAGACGGCAATACCAATATTTTAAAGTAGGGTGCCGTACAGCCGTACTGTGCTACAACACATTGAATTTATATATAAAGGTACTCTGTGAAATTGAACTCCCAAAATTATCGTGCTACACCGCACCGACTTTTTTGCCTTTTTTGATGGCATTCCGCCTTGGTACTAAGTACTACGAGTACCTACTTTGTTAGTGCACAACGTCACTATACGTCGTTTTGCGTAAGAAGTTTCTTTGCATCAGTCCATCAGGGGGGTGAAACTTAAATACAAACCTAACCTTCATGAACCTAACACTGAAATTTTGTGTGACGCCTGAGCGCCATCCTTAGGACACCGTCATGCAACGTAACTAAACGTTTTATACAAAATTCTAATAGATGGCGGTGTTATTGTGTTTCGTTTAGGTTTTCAATTATTGCAAACTTTACAATAAAACTATAATAAACTAAAAAAACTACTTCTCTTCAAATGTTATTGAAGTCTTTTTGGTAGTGATTTTTTAAATGTTTTCAAATGTTATAAGGTAATTACGAAATTTGTAATTCTGTTTATGCTTTATGGCAACTATGTACTCTGTGTGGCAACTTTTGACATTGAAAACAAAACTCCAAATCTGCAAGTTCTACTGAAGGTAAATTAGCTTGCTACATATTTATTTATCTATGAGGTAAATATTTAAATATAAGAATTAAAAGCATGCCTTCTTCATGACGATATCTTAGGTTGGTGTATTCTTAGGGTTGCACCCAGGGAGTACAAAATTTAATTGTTCATATGTTTATACAATATAATTTGGTTTTTAGGAATGGTTTCAACTGGATCTTCGATGATGAATATTCATACTAAAATTTCACATGCTACTGAAGAAAATATTTTTCATAAGCTTGTTACTGAGAGTGAATGGCCCTGGTTATGTGCAGTGTTCTTGATTATATCCCCTTTTCCCCAGCCACATATTTTGCACTCCATATGGCGATGTGTTTTCTTCTATGCTCATGGGCACATACTTTAATGTAATTGCTACTGAGTGGCACTATTCTGATCTTGAATGTTTCAAGTAATGAGTATTTAAACCAAATTTGCATGACTCATCATTTTTGGGTGACAAATGAGCACACAGTCCACCTGATTGTAAGTGGATGCTGTGGCCCATAGACATCTACATTCGATTAAGAATCAAAATGCAGATGCGTTGTCACCCCTGAGGACTAAGATGGAATGCCTCAATCCCAGTAAAACGGGTCTCCGGTACTCTACACTCACTATACGAAACACAGCAGCACTAAGCTGCTATTTTACGCTGGTATTCTGTGAGAGTGTGGTCCTTCCCCAGTTCATGTCACAACCATAATAATATAGCTGCAGCGTGGCTCTATCGTACGTTACATATCAATAGAAATGTGTATATTTCGTGGTTATATTATTGTAAGTGTACTTGTTAATAAAATAATAAAAAATTTAATTAATAAAAGCATTTGTCGATCAATAATTTTGGCACCTTTTGCTCAAGCATAATGATACACTATATTTTTTCAGAAACTACCAAAGGCCTATACTTCAAAGGATGCATATGAAATTAGAAAACAATCTAAACCTCAACAACAAAGAGGTAAGTAAAAATCGTATCAAGTAATATGTATTATTTAGTTAGTGTGTCTGCTGAATATAAATTGGCTGTATTATCAAATATTATCTTATAATAACTAAAATAAATTAGATTAGAACATAATATTGTGTTTTTTGAAGTGAGTTCCACCTCAGTGTCTGGTTCTTTTTCTGTTTTTGATGCTTATAGACAGTGACCTATTACTAAATGAAACTGGGGTCCGAACTAGTGTCCCGGCCAAAAAAGTTTCAAAATGCAGAAATAAGTTTTGTCGAGCAACTACAAAATACATGTCCATGCCATAGTGTATTGTGAAAACATGCAAAAACTATATTTATTTTCCATAAGAACTACTAATATTTATTCATTTAAAAGTAATATTATGCATTGATATGTACATATTATTCAATTTAAATTCATATTAATTGTAAAACTAATAACCATACACTAGAATCTTCATATGGTGAAAATAGTGCAGCCTCTAATCGAAATCAATAGGCTGATAAATTGTCACAAGTAAAATTGAGTAGTTTTATAATGACAATATGGTTTGAACTTGGATATTATTGTTTTTTATATTTCTACATGTGTGCCTACACTTAATATCGGTTAACTGCGACACATTTTTCCTGAATTTTGTTCTATTCATTTAGTAGTAGGTCAATGCTTAAATTTAATTTTATAGTTTTTATTTCTATAAACTGTACAATTAATTAAAATAATGTCCTCATTTGAAATAGTCTACTATAATAGGCATCTGAACTAGGATAAACCTGTATCTCAAGTGTATGTGCTAATAGAAACATTAACAAATAATTTCCGTTTCTTATATAAAATGAATAACATACTAACGAATAAGGGTTATTTCGGTAAAATATATTATCATTAATTAACTTAAATAAATCAGCAACTTTTGCATATCATTGTATGACAAATTTTGTAACCATGTTTGAATTACAATTTTACAATCTGCTATTTTTAATTGTAATATAAAAAATCTATCGCATTCCATTAGGTTAAACAATACCATTAACCCATATTTATGAATAAATAAAGTGAAATAGCTGGATTAACTGATTTATTATAGCTGATTATTAACTATTGAAGTGAGAAACATGGAATTTGCATAGTAAAAGCTGCAAATAACCTTTTTAGCATAAACTCTGACTAGGAAGGATTTTTGAATAGAATAGGGAGTATGATTGTGCCTGAGAAACTCATCATTTTTAAAAGCAAGAAATGTAGTTTAATTTGATGAAGGCTTTCGTTTTGAAATACTGAACACGGTAGAGCCACGCTGCAGCTATATTTATGTCTGTAGCACGAATTTGTCAGCTCAACCAGTGTATGACCACGCTCTTACAATAATAGCGTGAAATAGCTTTATGCTGCTGTGTTTCGTATAATGTCTGAGAACTGGAGACTCTTTTATACTGTTAACAACGCATTACATCTTAGTCCTCAGGGGTGACAACGCATCTGCGTTTTGATTCTAAATTGCAGATAAATGTAGATGTTTATGTACCACAGCATCTTCTTCCCATCAGGTGGACTGTGTGCTTGTTTGCCACCCTTTTTCTATAAATAACCTACTACTTAATGATTTCTTATATTTACGCGAACACTACACATTGAAATAATACTAGTTTTTACGGAATTTATCGCGTGTATTTAACTTTTTAATTACCCGACGTTTCGAACGCTTTACAGCACTCATGGTCACGGGCAGGACTGAGATGTTCAACGTCCATATGTCATAGTTAACCACGGTTACCATAGAACAAAAGTTAAATTTTAATCTATGATAACCGCAGTTAACTATGACATATGGACGTTGAACATCTCAGTCCTGCCCGTGACCATGAGTGCTGTAAAGCGTTCGAAACGTCGGGTAATTAAAAAGTTAACCTACTACTGTCCGAGCTAAGCCAGAGGCAATTGTAGTATATCTTATAAAAGGCAATTGAATGACTGACAGTTTTTTGTATATCTTTGAACAGAAAAAATATATTTTTTTATTCTGTTTGCTTTCAGCTCGAATTAAGAACAAAGTCTTTTACAAGACTTACCAACAATTAAAAACGATGCTGTTGAAATTACAAAATAATTGTAAAGATGTCAAAAAGTCCTACCATGTAGCAGAGATGGTAAGCAGAAATGAAAGCTTAATAAAGTTGCCAAAACAATATCAACTTTTATGAAACTTCAATTAAAATCTCTACAGAAACCAAAAGGCAGAAAGTTTACTCCAAAAGAAAAAAAATTTGCATTATCAATATTAAAACAAAATTATAGAGCTTCTAACTTTTTAACCAAAATCTTGGTACTACTATCCAAACATACTCTACAGAAAATCCTTAAAAATATATTGATTGAACCAGGATTGAATGTAAATATTCTAAATAATTTAAAGGAAAAAATGTATAAAATGACACCTGAACAAAGGCTATGCAACTTGTTTGATGAGATTGCCTTAACTCCTGGTTTATGTTATAATAGGAGTATCGATCAGATAATTGCTTTTGAAAGAGATACTGAGAAAATTGCAGACCATTGTCTTGTTTTTATGATAAAAGGGATAAAGATCAAATACAAACAGCAATTTGTTACCAGTTCTGCCAAAGTGCAACTAAAAGCCATATATTGAAAGTATTAATTATTGATATAATTAGGAGATTAAGAGAATGTGGCTATAATTATTGTCGCTACAATTTGTGACTAAGGCACATCTAATGATATCTGCAATTAATTCTCTTTTAAAAGATACAAAAGAAAAATATTTAAGGCATAATAAAGTCTACAAAAGCAGTATAATAGAAATTGATAATATACCTTTATTCCATATTTATGATCCTCCCCATTTATTAAAGGGACTAAGAAATAATTGGATTAGTAAAAATATAAGATTCATTTTCAATGGGGAAGTCATGATGGCAAAATGGGAACATTTAAAAATGCTTTTAGAAATTGATGTTGAAGAAGATGATTTAAGAATGTTAAACAAATTAACAATTCATCATGTGCTTGTTGCACATGATGAATTGATAAATTGCCTATAATGAAGGTGAAGTATGCAGCTCAAGTTTTCAGTCAGAGTTGCAGTCACAATGACTTTTTTAGCAAATAACTTGTTTATAGTTTTTATTTTTAAACGTTACCGTTACCGTTACTAGGATTTTCTCCTATATTATGAAGGCAGTTGACAAACATAAATTGCACAAGGAAAAACATCCAGACCCGGAACAATTATTTGTAGGCCGTAGGCTTGTTCCATACGGGATTCGAACCCGCGGCCCCCAGCGCAACCGCTCATTGCTAAGCCAATGCGCCACGAACATAAAATATAACATTAGAATATTATAAATATAAAATGTTATTTAATTAATAGTTGTTATTTATTTGAGAACTGTTGCAAATACTCTTGAATTAAAATAATAAGGTATCCATTTTTTATGTTTAAAAACTGTATTCATAACATTAAAGTAAGACGAAAATGCAGTTTGTATGAAAAATATTATATTAAGACATACAATGCATATTACTCGACAAAGAAGCGTAAAATTACGACAATATTTCTTTATATTACGTAGGCATCCAAAAAGATATTTTGGTAAATTAAAACCCTAAGTGGGTGAAAAAGGGAGGCACAGTTTCTATGATTTTTTTATATTATAGGGCGATTGGCTCGAAACAAACCCTCACAGGGAGGACGGAGGCTATTCAAAGTTGTATGAAGAAAAAATTATGAATGTTTTTTTAATCTTTGAAAAATGGTGCAATTTCAAGTCCTTAGTGTGAAATAGGGTGTACAGTTTGTACCCAGTTTGTGCCCCAATGCCAGCCCCGGATCTTCAATTTTTTTTAGGCGGGGCAAAAACTGAAAAATGCCGCCCTCGCACACTTATTTTTATTTTTACCTTTATCGTCTATAATTTCAGCTATCAGATGTCCACTAATTGATTGACGTTTGGACATAGGCCTTCCGGAAATAATTCATCCATCGCTGTTCTTTCTGTGTTAAGTCTATTTATTTACAGATATATAGACATGAACATGTAGGATATGTATTTTATACACAGCACATGATAGGATTTAAAATAAAAATATGTATAATAAAAATAAAAATCAAATATATTATTGCATTTGTTAATTAAAATTACAATTTTACTCTTCGAGCTTTTTGTTCAGCAAATAAATCTATGGCCTTGTCATAATTTAACTCGTGGGCAATTTGATTTTCTACGGCTAAGATTGCAAGACTTGATAAGCGTTCCTGGCTCATAGAAGATCGCAAATAATTTTTAATTAGTTTTAGTTTGCTAAAACTTCGCTCACAGCTTGCGGATGTAGTAGGAAGCGTAGAGTAAATTCGCAGGGCAATACAAATATTAGGAAAAGCATCCTGCAAATCATGCGCATAGATCTGTTGCAAGAGATAGAAACTGTTAGCCTTTTCTATATCACCAAATAAAAGCGGAGCTTGCTCTTTTAAAACGTAGAGTTCCTGGCAGAATTCAACGGAGCTTAAATCTCGCTCGTATTTTCGAGCCAAATCTGCTCTATATTTTTGCAGTTCTTCAATTGACATTCTCAAAATATTAGTACCATTAAGAAAAGCAAAATTCAAATTCAGCATGGTAGCACAATCAAACCTTTTTTTAATTTCTGATATGATTCGATCAAATACCATCATTATTTCATTAGAAAGTGGTTGAACAGGTTGCAGTGTTTGTAATTCGTCTTCACACATCTCATCAAAATGTTTTTTACGTTTCGGAATTCGTTTGTTTTGCAATATAGAGTGAACACCACTTTTTTCAGCAACTTCTCCAGCCTCTTTTATCCAATATTCCATTGGATTTTGTCTCATTTTTTGCAAAGTTTTGAGCAAACCATCCATTAGTGCGACGGAACGGGCAAGGATAATATCTTCTTTCTGAATTTCTATATTCACTCGATTGATTTCGCGGAGAATATTCGCCCAAATAGTTAAATTAAGAATA